TTAAATGTTCATAAGTATAATATATTATATATATATATATATATATATATATATATATATATATATATATATGTATTATATACAGCTATATTTCTTTATAATATATATATTTAATAATTGTCTTACCTGTACCAATTCCTGCAATTCCATTTTAACATTTTGTAAACCTCCAATATCATCCCATGTAACAGTTGGAACTTCCACAATAGTTTCTCGTAGAGCACTTGGACTACTTTTAGTCATAGCATACTAAATTAGAGGGAACATAATATTATTTATAAAAATTAATATACATTTGTGAAAATATTTTGATATTTAATATATATGAATTAATTACTTTGAAATTATCCATAGTGACAGCAAGAGAAGATAAAACTTCAGCATCTATATGTTCTTCTTCCAAGTCAATAAGATCCATTTTTTCTCGAATTTGTTGTAACGCTGCTTCAGAGCACAATAATATATATATATATATATATATATATATATATATATATATATATATATATATATGTATTATATACAGCTATATTTCTTTATAATATATATATTTAAAATTGTCTTACCTGTACCAATTCCTGCAATTCCATTTTAACATTTTGTAAACCTCCAATATCATCCCATGTAACAGTTGGAACTTCCACAATAGTTTCTCGTAGAGCACTTGGACTACTTTTAGTCATAGCATACTAAATTAGAGGGAACATAATATTATTTATAAAAATTAATATACATTTGTGAAAATATTTTGATATTTAATATATATGAATTAATTACTTTGAAATTATCCATAGTGACAGCAAGAGAAGATAAAACTTCAGCATCTATATGTTCTTCTTCCAAGTCAATAAGATCCATTTTTTCTCGAATTTGTTGTAACGCTGCTTCAGAGCACAATGAAGCCAAATCTGCTCCTACATGCCCATGTGTTTCAGCTGCAATCTAAAGAAATGAGTTAATTTAGTAAAATATTATATAAAAATTAATAATTTAAGAATTTCAAACTTAATAATATAGACCTCTTCTAATTCAACATCATCTGCAAGTTTCATATTTTTTGTATGAATTCGTAAAATTTCTAAACGACCAGTAGCATCAGGTATTCCAATATCAATTTCTTTATCAAAACGACCAAAACGACGTAATGCTGGATCAATGCTATTAGGTCGATTGGTAGCAGCCATTACAATAACATGAGAACTTTGTTTCATGCCATCCATTAAAGTTAACAACTGAGATACTATGCGTCTTTCTACTTCTCCATGAGTCTAAATTTAATAATATAATACAATATTATATTAATAATACATTTAATTTGTGAATTATATAACAAAATAATTCATAGAAACCTTTTCTCTTTTTGGAGCAATTGCATCAAGTTCATCAATGAAAATTATAGCTGGTGAATTTTTTTCAGCTTCTTCAAATGCTTTTCTTAAATTACTTTCCGACTCTCCCGCAAGTTTACTCATAATTTCAGGACCTTTTAACAGAATAAATATTAATATTCTATAAAAAAAAAAAAAAATTTTTTTTTGAAATTAACATACCATTAATAAGAAAGAAGAATGCTCCTGTTTCATTTGCAACAGCACGAGCAATAAGAGTTTTTCCAGTGCCTGGTGGCCCATATAAAAGAATACCACGAGGCGGTTTAACTCCAATAACTTTAAATAAAGATGGATGCCTTAAAGGTAATTCTACCATTTCCTTGATTTGAGCTAATTGTTTACGAACTCCACCAATATCATCATAACCTACAGCATTTAATGCCTCTTCTTCTTCCTACAATATTTTTGCATATTTGTATTATAATAAAAATAAATAAACAATTATTAAACAATTATCTAACTAACCTCCCTTTTAATAGCATCACCTTCACAATGAATAATTGTGTCAGGAGCTACAATACAAAATGGTCCAGGATCTGTTTCTACTACTTTAAATTCTACAACACGCATACCACCACGTACAATAAAATTATCATCTTTATGAACAGGACGATAAGCTTCCAAGAAGTATGGTTTTAAATATACTTCAAATAAGTTTCTACAACAAAAAATAAGACTTATAAATAATTTTTATATAAATTAAAAAAATAATAAATGTTAAATAAATAAATTATTAGTAAATAATGAATAGTAAATTATTTATTTTTTTTATATATAAAATACATTAAACTTTATGTTTCATATATTTATTATAAAATTCTAAATATTTTTTTAAATATATTTTTTAATACATTTCATAATTCATACTTATATTTCTATATCATTTAATAAGTTTGTAATATCAACTATATTTTTATAATTGTTATGAAATGTTAAAAATATGTGTATTATCTTACTTGTATATTATATTGAAAAAAATATTTAAATAATGATGAATAAAATAATTATAATTATATGAATGAATAAAGATAATTATTAAAATGAATAAATTATTAAAATGAGAGATAGTAAAAAATAATAATAAATAAATTAATCTTGATTTATTAATTTACCCTGTAAGACCAGTTACTGTATCATCCATTGGTAGTACATGAATACGTTTTCCATATTTAACTTCTGGACATGCTTGTACAGAGACAACATCACTTAAACGTACACGTAAGTTATTTCTTATAACACGGTTCATACGAATTTTTTCATCAGGACAAGTATCATCAGAAAGAACAATGCATACAGTTTCTTTGCGTCTTTTTCCTTTCAACAATACTGTATCTCCTCGGAAAAGTTGTAATTCATCCATTTTTGCTTGAGACAGAGCCACAACAGAATTGTCATCTGCAATAGCTTCATCCACTAATAATCTATTTGGCTTATCCTTCTTTCGAAGGATTGCTGTTGCCAAATCTTCACTGTTATAACATAATGCATTTTATTAATTTAAATATAATGCTGATAATAATTAAATAAAATTTAAATTTAATTTACTAGCATTTATTACATAATTATTTAAATTATAATCAATATAATAATCTGAAACTTTGAATTATTTTATTTATTAATAGGATCAATTTTTTTTTATTTTTTTAATTACAATACAATTCATATTTGATTACTATTTTAGATATAATAAATAATTATAATATAAATTATTATTACTAAATTATTATATATTTAACATTTAATATAAATTACTATTATGTATTTATTAATAATACAAACTAGAAAAACTAATTGAATTTTCTAATCTATTTATATAAATTATAATAATTTATAAATATATATATATATATATAATATTGTATTTTTTATACTTATTATTATAAAAATTAATAATAGAATATTTTCATTAAATCATAAAAAAGCATTTTTAAAATATTTAATTATAATATAAATAATATCATATGATAAATATACAATATAACAAACATATTCAATTTCATACAAGTGACATTTTATATATATATATATATCTTAAAATATAAATAATTTTTACTTTTATCAAAAATTCGTTATGGAATTAACAAATGTCATAGTAAAAAATAAATCAGTATTAATAAAAATTTCTTTGTCATGTTCGATATAGTATTCGCCATGAACAGTCGGCACACAAAAGTGATAAGCGCGATTTGTATATAATGAACTATTTTAAAAAAAAAAAATAATTTATAAGACATAATCATTTTTAATAATATAAAATTTAATAAATGTTATTTACTTTTATAAGAATCTATAAAAAGACGCGTTGCGTCGACATGATGACAACGTAAAATTGGAAGCCAGCATGGATGAATATTATTTGCATATTTCACGTTTGAAAATTGAAGTACAAGAATTAAATTATTGTAAATATTACTTAATTAAACGCTTTTTCTGTTAAATTAACTTACCTTTTTGGTTCGCCCATTATTCACTTGATTTAACGCAAAAGAAAATGCACAGGCAACGATCGGAACTCAGTATCGTAACACGTACGAGTCAGCAACACCTATAGTCAGTCCAATGAACATTCTCATTTGAACTTTCATGGCTTGCATTAAACTCCCCATTGTTGAATCAAAATCTAAAGGCAAATTTACAAAAAAAACTCATCATTTTATGTTATACATTATTATTTTTAATAATTTTATTGATTACAAAGATAATTAAAATATTTTAAATAACTTTTACTTATTTTTTACTTTTATTTTTTAATCTGAATACATAAGGTTATTATATATTAAAAAAAATTTTAATGAAATGAATATTTGTACTAAATTCATACGTACAATTTTTTAAATAAATATAAACTTATGTATAAAATTTTTTTTTTTAATTTTAAATTTATGCTATATTCATTAGATAATCTTAGTAATATCTAGTAAAAGTGTGTTTAAAACTAAACTTTAGATCACGTCACGACGTTTTCGAAGTGAGAATACAATAAATATACTGTCAAATCGGTCTAAAATGGCTGGAATTAAAGGTTATTCGGCATATTTTTAATTATATAAATACATAAAATTTTTTCATAAAATCAAAAAATATGATATTGCCGATAAAAATTTAATAAGAAAGATAAATTAAAAAAATAATATGTTCAAACATAACCTTACTGTTCTTATCATTGCTGTCAAATTCTTTCATATTTATTAATTTATTTTATATTTAAATTTTTATAATATAAATTTATTATTCTTTTCACTTATTTCTTTTTACAAATAATTATTTTCAGATATCATAAGTATTTATTATGTTTAGATATTTTGTTGATATTTGAATATTAAAAATTGAAAAAAAGTTGAATATTTTTTTTTAATATTTATATATAAATTATTAAAAATATAAGAAATATTATTTTATACGTAAAATGTGAAATTGAAAAATATTCATTATAATAGATTATATATGTAAAATAATTTATATTTTTATATTTATATTCTTTTAATAAAGTTTTTTTTATTAATCATATTTGATCTTTATATATATTTTGTATTAATTATTTTATAAATAAATCATTTATTATATTATACAAATTTTTTATAATGTTTTTCATTAAATAAATATAGCAAGTATATAAACAATTATATTTTAATTAATTTTTACAATTTTAATTTTATAATATGAAATTATATTGTATGATGTAAAAATTATATATTTATGTATAATATAATTTCTTTGTTTTGTTTCATGCTATTAATGATCTTCATTAATAAACAGCGTAAGTAATTCAAAACAATCTATGCAGAATATTTTTTTGTAGTAAATGTAACAAAAAATTATTTTATAGATTAGTACTTTTGGCATTTGGTGGATCTATTGGTATGACATTTGTCATACTTGGTTGTGCTTTACCTACATATAAGTGAGTATATATTATAAATAAATTAATATTATATATTATTATATATTATTTTTTATTTAGTACTATTATATTATAATATTACTTGTTTTATTTCGATAACATCAAAATATATATAGATTATATTCTATAATTATATTAATATAAAATAGTATGATTTTAATCTTATTATTGAATACTAATTATTGGCAAAATATATATATATATATATATATACATTGTTTTTAGAGTATGGTGGCCATTTTTTGTTGTACTATTCTATATATTAGCACCAGTCCCAACTATAATTGCACGTCGTTATACAACAAATGATTTTGAAAATAATCCTAATCCATGTTTGGAATTGGCAATATTTATTACTATGGGTTTTGTGGTATCATCTTTTGCTCTTCCTATTGTCTTAGCTCGGTCTCCAGTCAATGATCCAGTGGTATATTAAAATTATATATATTTTTTCGAAATCTAATATATTATATTATATTTTTATATTATTATGAATATAAAAAAATTTACTAATGTAAGTGATATTATTTGTTATTATGTATTTTCAGATACAATGGGGTGCTTGTTATTTGACTTTAGCAGGTAATATTATTATATATCTAACTCTAGTCGGATTTTTTGTAACCTTTGATCAAGACGAACTCGAATATAACACATGTTGAAATACTGTACTTCATTGTACTTATTTATTAATACTACATGGTAATATCTTAAATCACATTTTATTATTTCTAATTAATTTTATATTCTTTTTAATTATAATTATAATTTGAATACTTTCAGGTTTTTGCAAAATAAAAGGAATGTAAATCATATACTGCACTGACTGACAGTTATGTGTTGATTCTAAGTCATCGCAAAATTTATAGTATATTATTTACATGATATATATATTATCACAAGTCATTTATAGTAGATACTATACTAATACTATAACAAATAGTATTACACTAACTAATACTAAAGTCAATAATGATTTATTTTGCTATTTCTATGCAGTAATTAAAATTTCAAATTGTAAAGGATTAAAATTTTTATAAACTTTTTTGGATAAAATTAGAAGTATGACTATGCTGAAATATGTAAAATTTAATATACTATTTATTGAATTTAAGTTCTTGAAAGCAATATTAATAAATACAATTTTTTATATTATGTATTCCATACTTCCTATTATTTTTACAAATTAATAATTATAAATTAAGTAAATTAAGTTAGTATACAATGTTTTGCAAATGTATTATATCATATTGATATAATAGTTCCTATAAAAAAGTGCATATAAAATTTTCATATTTAATAATTTTAGAGATACCTATTAAAAAAATAAATAATAATAGGAATGCTTTTTTTACAAAATTTAAGATAAAACAGCATATTTTATATTGTATAATTTTATTATAATTGATGTTATGCGAATTAGTTATAAAAGTTAATAATTATAAAAGTTTAACAAAAATGATTATATTTCCTTATATAGAAAATTAAATTTCCAATTATATAATATATGAAAAGTAAATTTAAAATAAGTACAATAATAATAAAATTTTTTTGTTATATTGTTAATATTCCTTTTTTATTTTAAATATTTTTTAAATCAAAATTAAAATTAAAAATTTTAAATTAATCAATTTTCAACATTAAAATAGTTTTTAAATTAATTAATTTTCAACATAAATAATTTAATATTTTTTCATGATATCTATATAAAATTATAAAAGAACAAAAATAATGACAAAAAACATGATATAAACATTTCAGGTTTTAATTAAAAAATTTTATATATTGTTTACAAAATATTATTGTTGATTATAATAATGTATTAAAACATTTGCGTATAATTTAATAAAATCAAGTTGTGAATTAGTCCAAATTTCCAAATTATGAAACATATAGTCAATTTCTCTTTTCTCTATTAAACAACAAATTGAATTCGTTTCTTTTTTTTTCCACAATTTTTTCAATAGTTAATTCTTTTTTACATGTAGAAGCCCATTTTGATATTTTTCTTAACAATATTTTCTTTAAATTATTCTGATTTTTCTTTGATAATAATTTCAAAATTCTGATTTATTTTTTTCATGAAAGTTTTTTCCATAAATGTTCAACATCCACTGTTATTTTGTTCCATGTTTCGCTAATTAAATCGATAAAGGTTTTTAAATCGAAATTCATATAATACTTTTTAATTCCATCATGATATTGACATATTTGGTAAAATAATTTTTTAAAATTTATAATTATATTCTCATCCATCGATCGAATAATCGAAGTATTAAACGGTCATTAATTTGAAATAAAAATCTTGTTCCTTCTTTAAAAATATATCACTTTTAAAATTATCAACAAGTAATAATACTTTTCCTACGCAATGTTTCTGTTATGTTGATATTGTCATATATTAGGTTTAAAATGATTGACATATCAATCATTGAAAATAATTTTATCGATAGAACTATTATTTTGATTCTTATATACTATTGCTAATGTGTGTTTTAATAATTGAGTAGTAGTAGATTTAGTAACAAAAAGTGATGGTAATTTATGTGTACCTGTAGTATTAACACAAAATGCTAAGTAATATAATCTTCGTTTGTTTTCTCATTTTGTACTGATTCTTCTTCATTCGATAATATAATTTGTGGTAAAAATTTCCATATTAAGGTTGTCTTGTATATATTATATACATTTTTTTCATTAATATTTTCTTCATTTAATAGTTTTGTTAATTTTTCTATTGTAAATTCATCTACTTTGGTTTTTTTTGGTTTTTTTGAATATCTGAATCATTTAAATTGTATCTTTTTTTAAAATGCCATAACCAACCACGGCTAGCTGTAAAATTTGTCGAACTACCAAATTTTTTATGCAATTCTTTTGCTTTTTCTTGTAAAAGATTGTCGTTAAAGACATCTCCTTTCATTTATCTTTCCACAATCCATTCAAATAATCGGATATTTGTATCTTCATGTACAGGTACACGATATCTTTTTTTAATCAAATTTCTTGGATTTTTCGAAACTTCCCGAAGTGATTTCATATTTTTTCGATATCGTTGTATGGTTCTTCTATGAAGACCATATTCCACAACAAGTTTATCAATTGTCACGCCTTTTTCTAATTTTTGAATAATTTCTAAACGTTTTGCTACCGTAGTCACTTTTTTTTGAGTAAAAGTAGATGCTATTTCGACAATTGATTCAATTAATTTTTGATTTATATCTTGCTTATAAAATGTTTGATCTATTGGTTTAGATATTAATTTGTGTCCAAATGATAATGACATGATTAAAAAGTCAATACTATTTATTTATTAATATATATTCATGTATACCGTCCGCCAAATTTTTGTAAAAAGAATCTAAATTTGAAAAAATTACGAGTCAGTCATAAATAATTGGTACGTATATATCATAATTTTATAATAAATTGATTGCTTGATATATGATTATAAAAAAAGTTCTACATATGCTTAGACAAAAGAAGCATACAATTCTATGTTTTCTTTCCTAACATTTATTATATTTTAATATTTAAAATTGCATTTAAACATTTGTATCATAAATTTGACGATTATATAATTTTAACATTTTTATTACTTTTCTAAATCTATGTCCTTTATTATTTTATAATACAATAAAATATTTGGTTTATATTAAATTTCAGATTATGAATTTTTATTTTTTTTTTTAATTAATTTTTTATTTAATTTTTTAAAGCTAATAACATAAATTCAAAGTACTATCTTATATATATTATATATCATCATAATGTTTCTCTTTATTGCTTTTACTATTTCACTATTGTTTCACAAATTCAAGTTGGAGATAGATAACAATAAATAATTACTGGAATATCTAAGTACATCGAATGCTGCGACAATTAAGGGAGCACTACTGTATATAATTCATTATATAGAGAAATATGTGCACTATATATGCAAATAACTTTTATTAATATTGGAATTC